GTAAAAAGCCAAATTATACAAAGGATCATTGAGTATTCAACCATCCAGAAATTCTATGAGGAATTTCTCTACATTAAAGTAATTCAAATGACACCCTATTTTTTTTCTTTTTTTAGTAAAGGTGCCCCACATGACCTGAAATAAACAATAACCTCTGCTATTGTCAAAGGGCTGTATTGCATTCTTTTCTAAAACTACACATTATGATTATTAGGATTTGGTGAATATTAGATTTGGTAAAGGGTTAGGGTTCATCATCAAGTATAGATGAAAGGCGTCATAATCAGTTTGATAGAACTCAGCATTTAATTGAACCATTGATCAAAGACCAGCATGTTAGGTTGGCTCAAGTTAGTTTGATAACAGTTGGATACTCACAACAGAGTCTGATTTGAGTTGAAGGTCGTTTTAAGTTCATTTTTTTCCAGCTGGATTTAAGCTATTACTTCCTGTCATCATCCCGTGTTTCTTTGGGGTATTTCAGGGATTTTGTACAGCTGTATATACTAGACAGTAGACAATCAACCAAGGCTATGTGGACGGTGTCATAGGGTGTAATTATGTGATATACTAGCTCTGCCCACTTGGGATGGACTAACCTTAAGAATCATAGTCAGACTTGCAACAGAAATTACTTTTTAAGCCCCTCAAAATGACATTTAGTTGAGCAACAAGGTCAATGTAGTAGCTGCATTTGGGCTTTATATGAATCCAACATAGACTCTAAGTGTATTTGGTTCTTCCTTGGCCCATACTACACCCTTCCATGATGTTTCATAAAAATCGGGTGACTCGTTTTTGAAACTGGCTGACAAACACACAAACAAATGGTAGGTAAATCATAGCCTCCTTGGCGGAGATAATGTATGAAGTGGAGTTAATAAAAACAACCTTTTGTAAGGGTAGTGGCTCTGCATAATGATGTTACGTTTATAGTATATACTGTATGAATACAAGATCATATCGTTACTGTAATAAACCCTGCATGGTATTATGTACTTCCCATATGCATATTAGCGTCGTGGTTACGGGGCAGGGGCATGAATCTTTCCTCCTCCACCACCCCCTGTTGTTCCCACAGGTAGCATCTCCGCATCATTCGCTGCAGTAATGCATTTGAAAGTAACCTATAGCCCCCCCCCTACACTCTGCTGCTCCTTCCACATACATTGAGATGCTGCAACCCTCTCAGTGATCTTATTCCTCCCCTAGAGCTGTGGCCCCAAGCGGAGGGTGCAGGGGAATGTCCTGAGATCGCAGAGAGAGATTGAAACTGGCACCAGATAGCCAAGAGGCTCCAAGGGACCGATTGGAAATCAGGTGCTTTCTGGCAATGCTGCAACACATTTACACACGTGTGCGCTCGCATGCACACAGAAAAAAGGCATTCTTTCTGTCTGTTTCTCACACACACAGTGGCACCAGCCATCTATAGTCATTTATCTCTCACCGGTAAATGTATCCATGTTCGTCGGGCCCCAATCTCTTTCCTCTGCCTTTCTATCTTCGCTCACACACACTCCCCCAAAAACAATCTCCTTCAATCACCACCTCTCTCCATTTCCCTCCCTCTCTCTCCCGCTTTATCTCTCCCTCCACTAACGTAAACCATTCCTTTCCATTTCCCCCCCCCTCTCTAACTCTCTGGACTTATATTTCTTAGCGATATCCCCCCACAATCCTCCTCCGCCTCCTCCTTCTCGTCTGTTCCTATCTCTCTCTTTCTCTGCCAGTCATTCAAGCCCTGGGGTGTTCTTAGGTGATCAATCTTCATCCTCTCAGCGCTGTCACACTGTCGGGTCATCTCAAAACACACGTGCGCACACACATCCGCTATAACGAGTGGACAACAAAATGCCAACATTTACATATGATTACAGTGGGGAGCAGAGGAAGTGGAACACACATGCGAAGGATGCGAACACAAAGCCTTCCCTCCCTCAAAAGTACACGCACGTTCATCTTCTCATGGCTGCCGGTTGTAACGAGATGGAGGCCGGGCTCTGCCAAAGCGGGGATGGTGTGACTCTCTGGCTCGGCCCCGGCTGGCTCTCTCTCAGTCACGGGCTCCAGCAGCTCCAGCCAGCCCACCCAGCCTCCGCCATCACCAGACCCAGAGAGGAGGGCTCAATCTGGGCTGGAGGGTGGAGCTGGAAACCCGTCCGCTCTGGGCTCCATCCACTGCGACAGGCTCTGAGCCATGCCCAACCCCACCACCTGAACATGACCAAATACTGGCACCGCGGAGAGCTCAACAGTGTGTGTGTGTGAGTGTGTGTGTGTTTGAATCTGTAAAGATGGCAATAACAACATAGCTTCTGTGAAAAGAGAATTTATTACTTTTATTTTCGCTACCCAAACGTCACTAAAGATAATTTGCAATAAAATAAAACATCCTCTATACTAAAATTACATTATGGCACATGCATTGCCATGGAAACGCAGGTAAGATAAACAATCGGGACTGGAAATTGCTTCTATTTCAAGCCGTAGGCCTAGGTATTCTTGTTCAATACCTTCTTCTTATCCTTCATGCATACTGACGTGATGCATCAGCACAGGTTGAGCACAGACCTGAGACCAGTGGGGCTGAATTAAACATGGCCGGGCCTCATAAATACTGCACAGGGCCGGCACTCAGGGGAGCTTATCCGGGACCATAAGAGCTGGAAGTCCCAGCGCCCAGCAGGAGAAACACAACTACAGCTCGCAGAGTAAATGCTCACGGAGCGAGCGTGCGCATGCTAGCAAGCATGTAGCCAGCGTCCCTCTCACTGTATGCCTCATGAATAGTAATACCCTGCATGAATGCTCTGTTTGCCTGGTAAGTGTTCTTTGTGTACTGGCAAAAGCGTGTGTGTAAAGTGTGTGAAATGGTTTGTATTTCCTGCTCCCTCAATTTAGGGTGCATGCATAATAGCTTTGACACATGGTGGCTTTCTGTATGTGCTGCTCCAGGAGATAAGGTAGAAAATGTATTTGAGTAGCACACCTTTCTGAATCAGAGCACTGTTTCATTTTCTTTAGGTGGTTCATATATTGGTGTAGATTGGTGGAGGGGAGTTGTGACTAACAGCACATGATATTCTGTAGTTTTCTGTTTGATCAGTGAAGAAAAACCTGTGGCTTTTGTCCATTAGACGAATGAAAAACAAATTATACTATGAGCCTCGTAAAGGCTGCTCAATAATCAGGTGAACTGCTTAAAGGTAATGTCTTCTACCTTTGCCCTCATTCCTGACCTTTATGTTACGTAATACTACTCTGAATGACTACCGTATGAGAGGATGTTAGAATATTGCACTGTAGCTCTCTGGCATTTGTTGAATTTGGTGCAGAATGATGAAAATACAACTCAGTGTGGTAAAGACATTTGTTAAGAGGCTGTTGAGTACGGTGGCCCGCAAACGCACTACATCGACACAAAACACTTACATTAGAAGCAATGGGCTGCACTTTATAAAACGAAGCACATATTTAAAAAACAAATGTGCCAAAACAGATGCTAAAGAAGAAACATCTTCACCAACTTGATGAAAAATGCGGAAACGGGGACACTAGAAAGTGTTAAGGTTCTGGGATTATAATGTGTTAAAGATGTTTCTACTTTGCATATGTTGTGGCACATTTGTGTGTTTTAATTTGCACTTTTCTTTATGTCGTCTAATGTAGGTTTTTTGGGCAGATGAAGTGCGTTAGCCCCTGTCTGCAAAGTAATTCTGTTTTTAGATTTTAGAGTTATATTATGGTAAATAGTTTTACACTCCACTTTGTGGTTTTGTTGATATTGCAAGTCCATTAAAACGTTTTCTTGCTTAAGATTTTTCATTATTTGAGCTGGATGTTCATCAGTGGTCACTTGAGATGCATGTATTCAAAAAGCATGTGTGAACTAATGTATCTAAAGTAGGGCTGTCATTGTCTTTTCACGCTACTAATTATTTTAACGTGCGATTAACGCATGTGTATTTGTCCTCGGCCCGCCCCGTAGTTTCAGAGCCCAAAGGCTTGACGTTGTTGTTGTTAGTTGGCAGATTCTAGCGAGAGATACAAAAAAGGTGTTTTAAACAGCAAGCCAAGCACACAGCTGATGCTGACAGCCCCGCTCCTGCCGCTCGCTTGCGGCAGACCACACTTGAACGTTTGCTGGGGAGACGCCTGGACAACTACAGCTTAACATTGTGGAGGACGAGGGGCTGCGTTATTCGGATCGCATCCAACGTACATCACAGCGCATTATTTTGATCCACAGTGGGAACTTCAGTCTCATGCTTTGACTGAAGATGAAGACAGAGGAGCGGCATTTCGCCGGCAACTAAACAGGCTTGTCTGTCTGAGCAACTGGCTCAGTGCAGAGAAGTACACAGGGTTGGGAGAGAGTGAAGAGAGAGAGAGGTTCCAGGTTGTTGTGTTGAGAATATTCAGGAGAATATTTGTCATTGTTCCAATGATAATAAACACACATTTGCATAAAGCATATTTGTCCACTCATATGTTGATAAGAGTATTAAAAACTTAAAAAATATTCCTCTAAGGTACATTTAGAACAGATAAAAAATGTGCGATTAATTTGCGATTAATCGCGATTAACTATTTTAATCGACTGACAGCCCTAATTTAAAGCTGTCCACTTGTGATAGGCACCTTAAAGACACATGTTAATACCAGGTGTACACAGGTCATGCTGGTTTACACTGGCATGACAGTGATGTTTGCCAAGGACATTAAGAAGATTGAAAACCTTTTGGAGATTTTGTATAGACCCTAACCATAAAAAACGTTGCAATTGCTAGAGAAAGTAAAACAAAATGTCATCCTCCTTGGCTCTTGCTTTCTAGCATTTCTCTCCATCACCATGGTTCTTTTCTCACAGGAATGTTGTGGAAGCAGCATGGCTCTGACCTTCCGTCCGTCACTATTGATTACTCAAGGCTTACACCGCCGCTGTGCTTTCAGTAGGTGGCTCTAGATATCTAGAAAAAAGAGGAAACATTTCTTACCTGGTCTCCAGTGGGACGTTACTGTTGAGCACCCAGCTGTCTTGCAGCTGAACAGACTCGGGGGTGGTGGGCCCGTCTCCAGGACCCGGAACCGGGGCATGGATGGGGTTGCGTCCCCCTCTCAGAGTGTTTCTGTTCAGGCTATTTGCAGACTGGTGGGATAAGGTGTGGTGGTTGTGCGGAGGGGGCAGTGGAGGCCGTAGTGTGGATTGGCTGTGGTGGTTGGCAGCCCCTGGAAGGAGACCAAACAGAGAGGAATTTTAGCATCACACGTCTTTGTGACAGAAATCAAACAGAGCTTCAGACACAAGGGAGGGAAGGATTTTATTTCAAGCTGCTACAAATGTGAGACAAACACGTTATTTGATATTGTTTATTTTGCAGCAAACCAATAAAAGTAAACCTTTTCAGCTCACAGAATAGCATAATTAGCAGTCCATTACGCGCAATCATTTTGTAGTAGGAGTCGAATTTTCCAAACGGTCGATAACTTTTTTTAGCAGGAATCTCCACCTAAATAGATACATGTTATTTGATAATCATGTTTTCACATTTTGCTTTCACTTTTTCTCTATGATTTATCCCGTCTTATTTTTAGCCAAGTCTTCCGTTTGATGTTGTTTGCCTTTTCACAATTGAGAGAAAGTGTGTGCGTGTGTGTGAGTGGTATTAGAGCACTCGGCACAGCGTGTGCCCTCATCTCTCGCTCTCAGACTTGGGGGAACATGTCAGCTAGAATCCAATACCAGCCCTTCCAACTCTGAGCTAATGGACTGTCGAGTGAGAGAGCTGAAAAACAAACCCGGATGACTCAGACAAGAACACCCATCACCCATCACCTTTCTATCTCCGACGCTCTCTCTCGGTGGGGGATTTGAGCCTGTCTATAGCGTGTGTGTGGGTTCGTACAGTAAAATCAATAAACCACATTCTATACAGTACAGGAGAGTTGTCAGGGTTACATCACTTAGCATACCTTTGTTCACAAATTGACAGGTCAATGTACTCAAAGCGACACTGATCAAAAAGAGGGCATACAATCACTTTGTGTATCACAACAAACTGTCCAAACCTTTATTTTAATCTGAACAGGAATGTTGGAATTATTGCAAAACACACAGGGTCATTGACTTAACTTTGAATTCTTGCTTTTTCTCACATCAAAACGACACGCTGCATTTCCTTTATTATACTACACATCTGAGCGTGGAATACATTAAGTTGATTGTGTTTGTTTGCACATAGCCTTCCTGGCACTGATCAAAGGATGAGCAGTAGGTGCACATATGCACACGTATGTGCGGGGTGAAAATAACAGCAACAACTGCTTTGTCAAGCTGCGCAATCACACTTGTACCCCGAGCATTTGTCATCTCCTCTTGAATTAGATGAGAAAAGAAACAGCGTGTGAGAGGAAGAGATAGGGATGCATACCGGTATCCGGTATTACCGAAATACCTGTTACTGGTGGCTACGGTATACCGTACCGAAATCAGATCCGGTTTCGATACTTTAAAAAAAAAGAAAAAAAGTGAGTCCGTGGCCCGTGATGGCGGGTGTTATAAATTAGATTGCATAATTGTTTTTCTTCATATTTTATGTATTTTTCATTGTTTGTTCAATACTAGAAAGGTAAAAGTCCCATAAAAAGGACTGTGATGGGATTTGTGTTCTCTCACCAGTGAAGGTAAATGTTGATTTTAAAGATGAGATTTGTTGTGATCTCATGACCTTTATTCTATTATGTATTTGTTCTCTAGTCGAATCTCAGGTTTAACATTAATTATAACGGTGCTATAACGGTCTGTTTGCATTGACAAGATGTGCTATTCACGCGGCACACCTGATGGCGGGTGTTATAAAAGATATTCCATAATCGGTTTTCTTCATATTTTTTATGTATTTTTCATTGTTTGTTCAGTACTAAAAGGTCCAAGAAGTCCCACAATTGAATTTAATATTCATTTGACATGTTAACTATATCGTAAAGCGCTTCATGGGAGTAATTGTGGGATGATACATTTTCAAAGTATCACGATATGTATCGGTATCGTTCAGTGGTATTGGTATCGTAAAAAAGTCAACGATATGCATCCCTAGGAAGAGAGACGAGTGCATGTGGCAAACGCTCCTGCCCCCCTTTCAGCTTTGATATTTGTCCATCAAGAGAGTCATGAGCGGCATCCATGATGACGACTCCTACACTGAAACAACACACAGAATGTAGAAGCTCACAGAAACCACCTCGAAGAAATGTTTTAAACATATTTATATTTGTAGCATTAAGCAGGGGTGGATATTGTCCGAATGAGTCCCTGGGCACCTGCATGCAAAAGGCCCCCCCACTTATCCGACATGGTGCCAAGTCACTTTAAGACAATTGAGCCTTTTTTAGTCGTTGTTATGCATCTCTGTTGATTTTTCATCTTTTTTTTATCGTATTGTATCGTATTGTAGTTGTTTTTATCACGTTTTAATGGTTGTCTTTTTTTTTCTGCTATGACTTTTACATTATTTATTTTTTTTAATCATTTTGTGCTTGTTTGCATATATTTAATGTTTTTTTTTTGTTCAATTTGAGTGTCTTTGTAGTTCATTTGTTTCTTTCTGCAGTTGTCTGTGTATCTTTGTAGTTGCTTTGCCTCTATTTGTGGTTGTTAAGCATGCACAATTGTTGTGAGTCTCTTTGAGGTGTCTTTCTTTTCAGTTGTTTTGAGTCTTAACCTGGTTGGTGCATGACTCTTTGGGTCACATTTGTCAAACATTGAGCTAATGAAACGTTGGGCCCATAATAATCCATCTATGGAATTAAATCATTCCCTCTTCCTAATTTCCTTTCTCTAGGCGGGTGGTTAGATCATATAGGGGATATGGCACTCCTTTGCATCTGCAGCTGTAAAGGCGACCAGTTTGTACGGTGACCTGATTCCACCGGGCTGCCACTGGGACGCAGGTGTCACCCACATGGCCCCGAAGAACAGATGCTAGTGAAAGGAGAGCCGAAGAGGGCGAGGAGACGAGAGAAAGACGAAGGGGCCTGACCTCTGCTACACGGGAGAGACGCAAAACATCTGTTTGATTGCACATGCGAAGATGCTCCTGGGAGAACCGGCGTGCATATATTGGCATATGCAAACAGACATGCAGTTACACACCTGCAGGAGAAGTCCAACTCTTTCATCATACATGCAGAGTGTAAATTGATATTAAAGCATGCGAAGAGTATATTTCTCCTCCTCCTTTCCATACAGCCGAATTCTTTCTTCAAGGATTGTTCCCCTCTCCTTTTATGGTGCTTTTATTTGTATCTTTTGCTGAGATGTAAAGCACTTTGGGATACATCTTGTTTCTTAATAGCACTTCATAAATATATTTGAACCGACTTCCCCTCTCTGCAATGCATACATAAATGTGAGAGAGCTCCAACTACACCCTATCTGCATAAATACATTTTATCTAAGCAGAGCAACAATACACACAACACAGAGCATGGGAAATACACTGGGAAAAATAAGCTCGCACGCACACATGAAGGCATGGGCACACAGTCTGTGCGATATGAAAATAAAAGTAGGCACCATGTTTAAATCTGCGCACAGAAAACATGCACAGGTTTGTTTTTGTCTTTGTTCACTTTCCTGCTATAAATACTGAACAGTTTTTTATTCAAAATGGGATTAATAATACATGGCACACGTTGTATGGAAGAGGAATACATGGTTTTATAGCCTTAGTTTTCTATGTGCTACTGCTGAGTGTGTGTACAAGCATCAATTGTGTGGAAATGTATGTGTGTGTGTGTGTACTGTTTAACAGTCCAGTCACTATATTGTTACACAGGGACTGAGTAAAAATGTACATCCTGTAGTGTTGCAGAAACTCACATCTGCCACATTTTGTAATAAAGATTGTAACATTCAGCTTGAAAAAAAACACAGAAATGCTATTATCTATCAGACAGCTGTGAATTGTATTATGAGTCTCCAGATAAAGTCAGAAAAATGCTGAGAAAAGTACTTATTGTAATTCTATGCGTTTTCTCACCTCCTGGGGCCGCGTACTGTCAGGTTAGCTGAAGTGAATTGTTACATGATAGAATGAGATTGTTTCTTTTATTCTGCATTGAATCAATATTTTCTAAATAAAGTGCATGAATGATTCAATGCTAATGTTTACTGTTGTTTTGGCACATGCAGCCTTTCTCTTCCACATCGACTTTAGTGTGCTACAAAACAGTTACGACCGGAGACAAATTGCTTTCCTTTTTTCTCAGCTACAGAACAAAGTGATGTCAAAGAAATGTATTTTCATGTAGACTCACAATCCATTAAAACAAATCCTTAAAAGTTCTTCAGAGAAAACACAAACACAAGGAGAAGTGGGGTCTGCCCGAGAAACAAGGCTGAAGTATAAGGCCGTTTTTTTTCTTTCATATGCTCAGACAACTTCTGAAGAGAATCGCAGATTGCTTTGGCCACAGAAACACAAATCTGACCATCCATTGGAACAGAGGCAGCGCGCAGTAACAAGTAGGCTGCGGGCAAATGGATCCAATAAATTAAGATAGAGGACTTAGTCAGATGAATTGTCCGGTTTGTTCAAGTACAACCCGCAGGTAGGCTGATAGGAACAACTGTTTTAACCGGGAACTCAGTCTGATAAAAGGCAAAACATGCGGTGAGGAAATAGCGCAATTAGGGAGCAGCCAAGCATTTCACATTTTATTCCACTTTATCTTTCCCTCCTTTCTTTCCTCTCTCTTTGACTTGCCCGTGTGAGTAAACAGCGATTGTGAAAAGATTCTCTTAACAGCTCTCGGTTTTGTTTTCGCTGCCACTTTTTGTGGACAAGCTCGAGCCCTTCTGACTGCTGTTGAAGCCTGACCCACTTTATTCTGTCCAACGTCCCCCTGCGCCTAGAGGAGGAGGGGGGGACACACACACACACACCATAAGCTGGTGGTTTGGCTCAGGCTAATCCCTGGAAGTTCATTATGCTCTGCAATTCAAAAGGAGCCTCATTCAGCGGAGGAGCATTAGCTGCTAACCTGCATCCTCTGTAAAGCACACAAGTGAGAGGCAGGGGCTCGCCACACCATATTGATCTCACAGTGTGAGTGTGTGTGTGTCTATATGAGTGTGTGATCAGCTGGCAGAAACCAATGTGGTTTGTTTTGTTGCCATGGATAGGCAAACTGTTTATTGACATTGTTCTGTGGTTAACAGATGTGCACATATGCACCTGGATATGTGTGTATGTGTGTGTGCAGAATAGAAATGCCCATTCAGCAGTTAAAAAGGGATCATTGCAGGGCTCAGCTCCCTGCCCTCCCTCCGTCCTTCCCACTCCTTCTGTCTCAATATTTCTTTTATTTCACGCCCCATATCTCCACTGCTCCTACATTTCTTTAAAAAAACAAAACAGTGCCACCCCCCATTGTTTTTCATGCACCTTCTCCCTGTGCTAATTGCTATTCTCCCTGTGTTTTAAGGTGGTATCTTCCCATGTGCTGCTGCTTCATATGTCCTCTGTCTGAGAATGTCACATGCTCCTCATTTGTCATTCTTCTCAGAGCTCAGAGGCTGAGCACAATGGAAGGAGAGCTTGAGGTGAAACACACACATGCTGACAAAAGGAGCTTAATTTCTCACATCGGCTTTAGTATACACACAAACACATACAGGCACCAAAAAAAGATATAGTTAAATGCACACACACAAACACACACACCCCCACCCACACAAACCCCCACCCCCACCCACACAAACACACACACACACACACACACACACACACACACACACACACACACACACACACACACACACACACACACCACACACACACACACACACACACACACACACACACACACACACACACACACAGCCTCTGCCTTGGCTAGTCATCTCTGTCTAATTAGGAGGCAATAATCCGCTAGAGAAGAGTCATCAAATTCAGCCAAAAACAAACAGTCTCCATGAGCAGAAAAATGCACGTGTGCATATTATCCCCACGCACACAGATGCATATAACTGCACACACACACCAGGCGCGAATCATCCCACTGTTACGCAAATGTCACCCTTACATAAGCACCATTATGAAGAATAACATTAGAGCAGAAGGAGGCAACGCGTCTTCGCTGTGCCTTTTGTTTCTGTAGATTTGTTTCAACAAAGCCATTAAACATTCATTGCTTCGGCAGTGACTTGGGGTGGCTTCCCTGGCATGAGATAGCTAGCCACTTTAGAGAAGGGCTCGGGCTAAAAATAGCCTAGCATTCCCCATGCATAACGAATGGCCAGAGACAGCGCTAACGCTAGCTCTTTCCAGGAGCGATCTGCCACGCTCCGGTTGGCCGTCTCAGCTCTGCCGGCGTTCCCAGACAGGTGCTCCGAGCCAACAGTATTCCCACATAAACATTCGCAGACCCAATTCCCAGCCAATCCCCGGCAACACCGTTCCGTTCCCGTTCACTTGTCATGCTTCAGTGGGAACACAAGTCATGTCTGTCCACCTGTTAGCTTAGGTAATGGTGGACTACTTTACAGGAACAACACACACACGCACGCAGACACAAACACACACACAGCATGCTGCTTCCTGAGGATTATCTCGCTGTGGTCAGTTTCTGCCTGGCTTGGTAAGCCTCATTTCCTGCCCAGCGTCCACTCTCTGCAGGACCACACAAATCACACAAACAGACACTCACACAAGCATAAACAGACGCCGGTTATAGGTGTTTTATTTCCTCACAGCCGTTCCTGTGACTTCCTACATGCCAGGGTTTGTTTATGCAGTTGCCAGACTGCCACTCTAAACTCATTTAGGTCGATTTTAATGGACGCCCAAAGCCAAGGACTCTCTCTGCACCCATTAGATCAGCAGTCCTGGCTGGGAATCGTGGCAATTTGCAATCTTCATCTCAATGTTGTTCTCCTTCCATCCACATGTCTCTCTTTTCACCCTCTAAGCTCTCATCAGCGAACCCCGTTTTATTCACATTCCCCCCTTTTCATGTTCTTTGTCTCTTTGACTCCCTGTGTCTCTCGGTTTCCGTCTCCCTTACAGTCCCCATCTATTTGTATTCTCTTTAGATGTTTCTTTTCTTTCACTCTGCTTTTTCATTCTTTTTTTTCCATGCACAATGTCTCATTAAACAACTTCAAAAGTCAAAGTTTGGCTTTCTGTATTTTTGTTCCCATTTGCCTCTTTTTTCTCTGTCATTCTTGTTTTTTCTTTGTCTCCCTCGCTCGCCGTCTCTGTGTGTACAGGCTCAGCAGAGACTGAAAAGAAGCCCCGGAACAGAAAGTGTGGGTGTATGTGAACAAGAATGAGAGAAAGAGAAAGATAGAGTGTGCCTGCGAGCCTCACTCTTCCTCTTTGCCAGCGTCTGCCATTAGGGTGTCAGTGGCAGAGTGAATTTATTTGCTGTGCGGTTACTGGGCTAATGATTGATGTTGCCCCAGCAAACAGTAAACCAATTAGAAGGCTGATGTAACGTCATTTTAAAAGCCTCCTAATCACGTTGCTCTTGAACCTGGGACCCGGGCCTTCCCTAATGAAGATTTATACTGGATCAAAGGAGAGCCTAACGCCATTAACAATAGATTGTATTCCACCAAAAATCACATTAGGATTTCTCTTCCCACCCCCCCCTCCCTCCCATCGGGCCGCTGCTAAATATATCTGCTGATTACAAGTGCAGATGCACAGAGGAGTGGAGAAAGGAGCGGGAAAGAGAGGGACATGGAGTTAGACAGAGTTGGCCCACGGTTAGCTAATTGTTGGGAATAAATGTGTATGATGATGAACAAACTCATCACAGATGTGTGTGTGTGTGTGTGTGTGTGTGTGTGTGTGTGTGTGTGTGTGTGTGTGTGTGTGTGTGTGTGTGTGTGTGTGGAGAGAAATGGTTGTGAGGGGCTGATATAAGCACACAGGGCCTGTAACAGCCAACAAGAGAGAGTCCAATGATGAAAGAGGAAGCATTCAGCCAGGAAAAAGTCACTAGTTTGTCTTTTGCTGAACTGATCTCCTGCCGGCACTTAAAATTCATCATTCCCCTACCTTTCACTTTCCGGCGGATTATTAATGTCACATGGAAAGTAAGTACAAACACACCTACTCACTGGCAAACAGTCTGCGCTGTGCAGAGTGAAGAGGTTGCTTTTACTTGCATCATTGTTTTCTGGCGATAGTTAACTTAGGTGGGAGGGTTATATTTTAAATGACATCCATTAAGAGATGACCAATTTTGAGCTCAAAATTAGCTTTTATTTATTATGTGACAACAGGTTTATGAACAGAGTGTTTTCGTTTGTTTCGACTTTCTGTCACGACTTAATCATTAATTACAATTTGTCATTATCATGGGCAGCTCTTGCAGCCGTCTACATATATCCCGGGTGGTCATATAAAATAAAAATATTTTAAATTGAATCCTTAAATGATCAATAATAGGATTTATCTCATCTCTCATAAATCCCTAATATCCACAATTAACCATGGTAACAATCCATTTCTGTCTTAAATCTCTTACTGCATAGTTTATGATCCGTTACAATGCAAACAATAAATGCTTTAGTCCTTCTGGTTTGATTCCCAGCCCTGCAAACAAATGCTGACGACCGAGGAATGAAAAAAAAAACGAAGAGCAGAGACAAAATGGCTAAAAGAACAAGATGTGACATTGAATTAAAGCGAGAGGATTGCTTGGCATTTTCCTGAGCAGCGACTAAATCAGATCAGGAAATGGACACTTGATGAGGTAATGCAGGTGATGGATGACATGTTGATGTATAAATAAAATGAATGAAAGGGTAAAAGGGGGGGGGTGGGTGAATGGCGAACTCTCTTTTCTTACCCGCGGACGAGGCCTGGGACCGGAGCAAGTATGAGTCCTCGGGGTGAGGCTCCAGGTGGGAGTGGGGGGAGTTTTTCTCCAGCAGGGGCACCTGGCATTCCCTGAAGGGTGGAGACGGGCCGGGGGAGGGGTGGTGGTGGGGGGGCGGACGAGGAGGACGGGAGGGACGGAGGGAGCAGGGAGGAGGAAGAGGTTGGAGGGAGTGGGCGACCTGGAGGATGGAGGGGCAGAGAGAGAGGGGGGGGGAGGGGCGCGTTAGACAAAAAAAATGGCAATGGTTGACAGCGAGACAGGGGCCTGTTCCGAGGCGGGTTTACTAACTTATCTGGATCGTTTTTATTGGATGAGCCCAGAATGCCTTAAAGGGTCCGATAACCAAAATAAAGCTTAGTTTCTGAAGCCATGAATATCGTTTGGGTTTTATTTTGTCTCTCTACGAACACTTTGAATGAAAACCGGACTTTAAAGGTGGGGTAGGTAAGTTTCAGAAACTGGCCCGGGTGCACTAAAATTTGAAAATACACAGCCGAAAAGAATCCGCCCCTTCCTTCAGACTTCCTTACAGAGCACCTCCTCCAACACACATGAACGCGCACATGACGTCTGCAGACTGGTGTAAGTGGCCGCCTGGCGAGTCATTGAAGTACTGCTGCAATGCACGCCCAATGAGGGCACAAGATACATTTGTGCGTGCACGAGATGGAAGGCTGACAGACAGGGCGGCAATCCAATCCGTTTAGCCTTGGTTGTACTTTTTACAGTACTACGGCTTCCACAGATGACATTTTTTTATGGATTTTTTGTCAAAGCACTTAAGATATTCATTGCTATCGGATGTTAAGAGCATTCCATGGAATATAACAAAAAGTGTATCTCGAGCCGGTTTCTCAAACTTACCTACCCCACCTTTAATGCTGACAGTTTTCAGTGGAACTATTTTTAAGGTATTTGTAAAAACTGTTGACAGCTTGTTCTGAAAAGTAGGAAATACTGCCACACTGGTTTGAGTTATAGTGCTCTGACTCAAAACCCGAATATATTAGACCAACATCTTTTTTTAAATAATGTTAAAAAAGATATTTTTTTAGTTATATTTTTCATTAGTTTTACCAAAATAACTTGATTTAATTGTATTTAAAATAACATTTCCAAAGAAATAAATCCTTCGAATCTGCCTGTTCAGTTTCTGTTGGAATGTGAAGGGTTAAATGAAAGAAGCTCGTCTCTCTTCGAGTTACTGTGAAGATAGGAGCTGATTGGTGGTCCAGCTGTAAATTCACAGAGGGCCCGCGATAGTAACTCAATGAGAGAGTAATGTCAAATGACAGTACAATTGACCTCTAAATGGGTGGGCTTTATTTTTTGCGGATTTTATGACAAGTTCCGCCCGCTGTGAAGTTTATGCAGGGTTGCGTTCCAAATAGTCCATTTAGTTTAGGAATCTTCCTAACCAAGTGAAATTACCCGGAAGTCCCTCACTGGCAGCCATGGTAAGTGCCATTCCAATTCTCTAAATGAAAGGAAAGGAGGTTTCAAACTTCCTTTATAACCTCCTTTAGTTTAGGAACCACTGGACCTCCCTTACCGAAAGGAGAGGAGAAAATGCTGCCCCACAATGCATTGCAGCCGCAGCATTTGCCGTCACTCAACAGTCGGCCGTTCACGGAAACAACCGATTATGACCGAGAAATTATTATCATGAAAGTTACGGTGCTTATTAAGCATTTTAAAACGTATGTGGTAAGTTGCCTAAGTGCTTTTTTCTGAACGTTCATCAGTATTATAATCAAAAAGAGAAATATGAACGTTAGTTTTTACTGAAATGATCAAATAAAGTCAACATCTCACAGTCTTTACTGAGCTGTGAGGTTTGTTCAACTTTTAAAAGATGTTTGAATGGTGATATACCCAGTGATAGATGTTAAGGACTAACGTTTATAATAAATACATTTGTATTGATTTTAAGATATTTTCATAGTTCATACAATCATACGTATTGGGATCATTTGTATTAATGTGGACCGGAGGGAGAGGGTGACGAGCATAAGTTTCACTTTCCTTTTTATTTCAATTCTAACTTTGGTCATGAAGAATATGTTTCTCTGTTGTCCACGTTCATAAAGCATAAAGCAACAGCGTCAGAGCACGGTGCAGAGTCTCTAGATGAGTCCCTCGTTCTTATTAAACATCCATGTTGTAGTCCGCTGTATAGAAAACTGTAGTTTCCATAGTTTCCCCACAGCAGCAGACGCACATTCATGACGTCCGCTGGCGCATCATAAACACGTCGGATAGTGAAAGTGCATTCGGATTCTCTAAAGCAGTGGTTCCCAAACGGTGTGCCGCGGCACACTGGTGTGCCGTGGGATTTTGTGACAACCATACGTTATTATTGCAATATACAACTACACAAAAATAATTATTTAATTTTTAATTTACTATATCAGTACTTTGTAGGTTTATATGTACGTAATCTGCGCGACTTGCGCATCCACATCTCCACGTGCAGTGCTGCATAAACATGGCTGAGTCAGCGATAACTTTCGAGGGGTGGAGGTATGCCCATTACTTTGAGTTCGTCCGAAGAATAGACAGGAATGTGACGGTGAGGTGCAAACTGTGTCCAGGCCAGAAGCTGTTATCCACTGCTGGAAACACCACGTGGTCAAACCTCAACAAACACCTGCAAAGAACACATGCTAAGGTGAAGCTACCGCACACGCTATTTGTTGTTTGTTTATATCACGTAGTCTGTTCTTCTTCTCTGTCTTCCGGTTGTTGTCTGTTTTGAATGACAAATATACACTACCGCCGCCTGCTGGTAAGGAAAGTTATTGCCACTCACGCATGCGCAGTTCGTACGTGCTCGGCGAGTAAAGTAACGAGTTACTTTATGTAGATAGTAACGAAGTAGTGTAATATATATATATTTTTTAAAGTAATATGTAATATATTACATTTTTTTAGTAACGACCCCATCTCTGGAGTTGGCGTTCTCTACTCTGGTTTACATGAAGAACAACAGGAGGTCACGGCTCTCTGTTGAACAGGACTTGTGAGTGGCCCTCTCCTCAGTGCCACCAAGAATTTAAAAAATCTGCGCGCCCCGACATGCACATGTATCTTACTAATTTGTAAATCGGCAAAAATATTTACAATAGCACATGCTGATTGCTGAAATGTTACATTTATAATTTGTAGTTCAGGATCATGGACAATGCAGCTTCCTTGCATTGACAGTTCTCTGTGCTGAATTTCTGCTGAGTTTCCTTTGCCTCATTTTTAATGTTGTGACCTGTCTGGTTTAAATGAGTGTGTTGCTGCTGATTTGATGAAGCCTAATTTGATAACGTTTCAAATTAATTTCTGAAATATTTCGTTAATAAATATTTCATGAGTAATATAGTTGTCTTTGTCACATTTTATTTGGCATTCGTAAATAATTATGCACATTTACAGATATTTTACATGATATGAGTGATAACACGTGTTATAAGGGCTATTTTGCACAATAGGTGTGCCTTGAGATTTTTACTTGTCCTTTGGTGTGCCTTGAGCACAAAAAGTTTGGGAACCACTGCTCTAAAGTACCGCAGTCTCTTCTCCTAAGTCCTTTTGAATTCTCCTATCCACTATCCCTTAACCCTGTGACGTTTCACTCAGAGGTCAAGGAATAGGAGATAGTGTTAGAATTTAGGAGCTGATTTTTGGATTATCGGAACGCAACCCAGGTGTATAAAGTGGTGCAGTGACGCATCCTAAAACCCGGAAGTAAGCTGCGCTCGGGTTCCCTCGACAAAAGAGCAATGGGATTTCTCCATAGGATTTTGGAAAATAGCTCGAAATAAGGTCAGTGGAAAACGAACCTGTTAGATAAATGCACGTTTTGTTCAGCCGGATAATATCCACATGTCTACCCTACTTTTATTATTTTCAAATCATAAATCTAATCGATAGATTTATGATCGATAGTTTTATGATCGATAGATTTATGATTAGCATAAATTCGTTCATGATGGCTCATGTCAGTGATAGTGATGACATCGTTGCGAAATTATTAACCGAGTCATTTTCAAGATTGAGTTACAATGATAGGTATAAAAGTCACAGCTCTCACTGCTCAAAACAATACGGCTCTGCAGAAATCTCACACTGATACCACAAAATAAAACTAAACCTGCATGGGGGGAAGTAAATACATGTATTTTTGTTATTTTGAAGAATGAAACCTTTACAATCTGCTAAATGAATGTCAAAAGAGCAGCTGCACGTTGTAATCAATAAAGTTATCCAGATAACTTCGTAGTAAACTTGCTTCTTGGAACAAACCCCTGGTCATAGCAATGTAAAGCAGCTCGGATACAAACACAGAAGCTTGCTGAGTAGATACATTCACAGAAAAAGCCAGCAGATCTCCTGGATACATTAATGAGTGACAAAGAGATATTAAATGCACCGCAGACACTCAACTCATGATTACACACTAATGCTCAATTTAGCTTAGTTTAAACACATTTTCCGTGCCAACGCCTTTAACCCTAATTGATTTTCATCCATACAACCTCCAAGAATAAATTATTTGCAGCACTATCCTTTAAAGCATGCCTATATAACTTAAACAGTGGCTATTGTAGTAAAAATGACAAAATTATGCTAAGATATAGTGAGAAATTAGCAAAAGTAAATAAGGACAAAACCCATCTTATGTTTCCTAACATTAGACACCATAAGCTAATTTCATTTGCTTAAAAATTCAGATTGCAATTTATTTTACATTTGACAACTTCTTGCTTTGTACAATAAGATTTTCGTGAAGGCCTACAGTACATCCATTGTAAGATTGTCCTCTACATGGTGGAGACAAAAGAAAGTTAACAACCCAATCTTTAAATAGTGGGAGCCGTGGGGACGCGTGGACACAATCAGGCTGTCCCATACACCAGAGAGCAAAAAGAGGGATGGAGAACATTTTCTCTACTCTCTAAAGGTTTGGAATCAAGGACAAAGACAGATCTAATAAATTCTATTTGCAGACGGCTCAAAATATAGAATAATTATGTCTGTCATATTTGCAGCTCAATCAATCAACAATACAGTGAGAATGAGGCCAAGGAGTCCAGCCAATCCACCGAAGAACCTGGGTTATTACAACTGCTAATTATAGTCGACCAAAGACACTTTGATTCACTAAATATCACTTATTTTCTTCTG